GACACCCCGAAATCACCGACTAGCAAGGTCCACGAAAACTCAGATGTGCTGTATTGCCCTTGGGCCCATTACGCCGAGGGCCCTGCCGAACGTAGCGTTTGGGACACGTCTCTGTGAATGACGCGACAAGGAACACTTTTTGAGACGTTTGAAAATGCATTTATTGATATTTAGGTTGGAAAGCCTAAAGTAAAAAGGTATGAACTAGAGGCACTTGAAAGACCTCAGCGAGAGGGAGGCCTGGCTGGGGGTGAGGTGAGGGCAGCCGCTCGGTGGGGTCAAAGTGGTCCCAGACGTGATTTTGTCAGTAGTTCCCCACGTCATGAAATACAGGATGCCTGATTCACATCAACCAAGTTCACAAAAAGCTGAGCTGTGAACCGGAACACCAGTTTATTAAATCATAAAGGGAGCTATTCTGACACACTGAGGTCTATACGCAGGTGGGTCAGCCACCCCAGAAGAAGGTGAGTGAGTTGGCTCCCTGGAACGACTCATGCCTGTGAGAGCCCCCGGGGCACCCTTCTTCACTGTGGGGATGGGCTAGTTTAGGACCCATGATGCTTATGTTCTCTGGTCTAGGGCAACTTCTTCCTTAGCCTTGGACGATATTGGAGACATGTTGGTGAATTCTTCCCTGAAGACTGTACTAGGTCTAGATTGCACGCTGACCGTTCTCTTTCTGTTAACATTTTTTTCAGGCAGGAGACGAGACACCTGAGTGGATGTCACCATTCTCAGTTACCTCCATCACAACTCAACTGCAAGCTCTTAGAGGACTATTCTGGTGGGCCATTCCTTCCATGATGCATGTATTTTAATAACACGACTCTCTCAGAGGATCCTTCCCCTCAAGCTCCTCAGGCCCCTTACGTCATCCCTTTGCTCTGAAAAGCAAGTCAAAGACCAAACCGAAAGCAAGTCTGGGTTCGATAGACATGTGTAACCGTGGACAGCAGTCACACAGAATGATGTGGCCCTTCCCTCCTTTAATGCCCATGTAGGGAAAAGGAGAAAGGGAGGGGGCTGATTTTGGGATTAGGAAATGGAAGAGATAAAGGAAGCGGGAATAAGGGTACAGAGGAGGAACGGTGTTTCTGGTGAGTTTCACCCTGTCACCTGCTCCTGTGTTCTTCCTTTATGAGTGTGGTGCTGGCCTTATCGTGAACTAGACCAAATATCCTGGATACAGATCTAATAAATTGTGATGTTTTGGTGGGAGAGGTAAGAATGCTCTGGAACATGGAATGCTGCCAAGGTGGAGAATCAGAGAGTTGCCCCAATGGAGGATGAAGAACTTAACTTTACAATGTTGTCAAGGGTTGGACCTGTAGAGATGGTCACAATTTCCTATCAAAGTATATTTCTGTAGTGATTACATTTTCTTTAAAAAAATTTTTTTTAATGTTTATTTTTGAGAGAGAGAGAGAGAGAGAAACACTTTTTTAATGTTTATTTTTGAGAGAGAGAAAGAGAGAGCATGAGCAGCAGAGGGGCAGAGAAAGAGGGAGACACAGAACTCAAAGCAGGCTCCAGGCTCTGAGCTGTCAGCATGCAGCCCAACACAGGTCTTGAACTTGTGAACCATGAGATCATGACCTGAGCCGGAGTCGGAGGCTTAACCGACTGAGCCGCCCAGGTCCCCCTAGTGATTACATTTTCTAATTGACTTACTCCAGTAAAATAGGAATTCTAGATAGATTTCTCCCCATAAAGAGAGAGAGCAGTAGTCATAGAATGTATATAGTCAAATCTAAAGAGATAGGAAAGTGATTCGTTAGTAAAGGACCCTGACCATTTTCAACCCCCAATATGTCAACCTTGGAAATACATTTTACTTTAAGTGAGTTTTGTCTTTTCTTTAATCCAGTTGACATACCGGGACACCTTGGTATATATTCCATATTTTCCTTTCATTGCACACTCTTCACCCCAGCTAATAATTCCAGTTAAGAAATTAATGCCTTCCACTTCGGTAACATGGGGTCCCCCGCTATCTCCCTGGCACGAATCTTTACCTCCCTCATGGAAGCCAGCACAGAACATGTTATTATAGATGGTGAACTTGGTGGACCTAAGGCATGTGGCTCGGTCAACAAGGGGGACTTTAAGGTACTGAAGAATTGTAGCCGGTCGCCCTCTGTTGAAGACTTTCCCCCAGCCACTCACGTAGCCATATCCAAATTTGAGGAAGGTGTTCGTGTATTCCCTGTCAGCAACGCAAATAGGTGTTACGTAGCTGTTTAGCGTTAAGGGCTCGTCCAGTTCCAGAAGGGCAATGTCATGGCTGTACTTATTAACAGATGCATTGTAGCTGTGGTGAAGAATAGTGCGAATCACGTTTCGCTTTTGCTCTGTATGTTCCGTCTCCTCGGTGTTATGTTCACCTACGGAAAAGAAATTTCTCCTCAGTCACAAATAGTCTCTCCCGTAAAGAAGCAGATTTTCCAAGATTTTCGGCCTCACTGAATTCACTGGTAGCCAAGTGTCAAAGATCCCAATCTTACATCGTTAGGATTTTGGTAACACGTCACGAGGGCCGATGCATACTTTCCAGACCCAGAACCCATTCAGGACCATCGTGGGGCTGGTTAGTTGACCCGGGCTGATACAACTCTTACATCGTTCACGGATGATCAGGAGTCTGCGTGTCACGAATGATCCTAGATTCTCCTACTTTCAAGCATTTTGACCCCCTGTTTGAGCACAGATAATACATTCATTTGCTCACTCGTTCACATGTTAGCCGAAGGCTCGCTACATACAGGCTCAGAGATGAGTGATGTGACGTGACTTTTGGGGAGGCTCAGTGCGCCGGAGAGATGCGCACCTCAATAAATAATTCCACCCCTGTGAGGCGGGCGCTAACATAGGCACACCCAAGGAACAGTGGGGGGGCTTGGTGGATGCAACAAGTTGGGTTCTGGAAATGTGTCTCCTCTAGCACTAGCCCAACTTATTTAGGAAAGCTCTTCTTAGACCTTAGGAAAGTACACACAGCATACAGTGATACCACAGATGCTATCCTGTTTTGTTTATTTACCTGCAACGACAATAATTTCAACATCCGGATTAATACAGTGGGCTGCAGTTACCACCCATTTTTCATTGATGATGGAGCCTCCACAGAACGCATCAATTTTCCCTTTCAAAAGGACCTGTGGAAACAAAATTGTGAAACTCACTACATGACGTGCTTGATCTAGAACAAAATAAATTCAGGTGCTGTTGATAGGAGTGGGCGAAACGTTGGATTCTAGGTGCTGGCAGAACTGGAGCGTTTCTGGAAAGTGTCAGCTTTGCAGATGACTTAGTGTTTCCGGAGCACGATCAAAAAAGCCATTTCTGCAACGGTCTCAAAGAGAATGTGCAATGAAAGCCAGGGGGAGCTCTAGACGAGGCAAATATGAGGGAACAGCTTCGGTGATTTGTGGCCCTTGGATGCCTTTTCCAGGTGAGTCAGATTCTCTGATGGCACACACATCGTTTCATGGGGATATGGCAGGTAAGTTCAGAGATGCGCTGACTTGACTCCTCCAGATCCATTGTTGTTATTGGGTCTTCTGTCCCTGCGTGAGGAACTCTTGCTAGAGGGTGATTTGCAAGAGAAAAACTACTGACTTTTCCATGAAGTCCTTTTTTTTTTAATGTTTATTTTTGAGAGAGAGAGAGAGAGAGAGAGAACAGAGTGTGAGCAGGGGAGGGGCAGAGAGGGAGGAGACACAGAATCCGAAGCAGGCTCCAGGCTGCGAGCTGTCTGCACAGAGCCCAGCGTGGGGCTCGAACGCACCAACCGCGAGATCATGACCTGAGATGAGGTCAGATGCTTAACCGACTGAGCCACCCAGGCGCCCCTCTGTGAGGTCTCTTTAAGTATGAATTGAGACCACTGGGCTCCATAAGGGCGGTGCTTACAGCCATCCAGGCAGTGAAACGCAGCAGGACACATGCACTCCTTCCCTTGTCCCCCTAGCCATATTCCACACCCCTTGGCTAGATATGCAAGCTGCCTCTGTCCTGAAAAGGTCTACTTAGCTGTGCTTGGGCAAAGTGGACAGAGGTGTTTGGGTGCCTGGTTTGAGCCTGGGCGTTATTAGACAAGAGGCCGATCCATTCTTTCATCTGTACGTTTATTGTATAATCAGAGTGGACAATGAATGTTTTTACCACTTCAATATCTAGATCAACTTGAAAAATTTCACTTCCATTGCACCCTGAGCCACCTGCTCAGGAAAAAAACAAAAAACAAAAAACTGAGAAGTACAGACACTAGAGGTCGCACTGAACATTTGGAAAACCTTGTGCAAGTTGCTGAGTAACTCCTATGAACTCCTGTCCTTTTTCCTAAAGCATGCCTTGTCCCAGGCATAAATCCGTTTCTAGACTGGAGAAGGAGAGTGGTCAGTCCCCTTAAGTGGGAGTCTGAGAAGGTCCTTGGCGCATGTTCTAGTGAAGATTCTTTTTGTCCTGAATTCAATTTACTGAACACCTACTAAGTCCTAGACACTGAAGCATTGGCCTCCCCCGCCAGAGACCTATGGGGCTGACCCACTGCAAGCCTCTGACCCCTTTTACCATATTTTAGCTTTCTCTCTCATTCTAGCTGTTGCTTTTTAAAAATTTATTTTATTTTAAATTTATTTATTTTGAGAGAGAGAGAGCGCATGGATGAGTGGGGGAGGGGCAGAGAGAGAGGGAATGAGAGAGAATCCCAAGCAGGCTCCACACTGCGGGCCTGGAGCCCAACACAGGGCTCGGCAGGGCTCAACGCAGGACTCAAACTCACGAACCATGAGATCATGACCTGAGCCGAAATCAAGAGTTGGTGGATCAACTGACGGAGCCACCCGGGTGCTCAGTGGGGGGAGACAGACAGAGGGAGAGAGAGAATCTCAAACAGGTTCCACATTCAGCTTGGAGCCTGATGTGGGGCTGGATCCATGACCTGAGCCGAAATCGAGGGTGGGACGCTCAACAGACGGAGCCACCCAGGCAGCCCTAGCTGTTGCTTTTTATTTTGAAAAGTTGTAAAATATAGGAAAACTCACAGAATAATATAATAAACACCAGTGTAGCCACCACTCAGACTTAACCGTCTTCTTAATTTTTTTGAACATTTATCGATCGCTTCCTATGGACTAATCATTGTGCTGAGTGTTTTACGTACGTTTAAAACAACACTTTATGGAGAGATATTAACATATCCATTTACAGATGACCTCACTCCCCTAAGGTTACTTAGGTTAGTTAGTGGTGAAGCTAGGACATAAACCCTAGTCTGCCTGGGTTCGTAATCGATGCTCCTAAGCACACAGTATGTATCCAAGCGGGGTTAGTGGGCCAGTTGCAGTAGAATCATCTGGGATGCTTGTAAAATGCAGATTTGGGGGCTCACCCGGACTTAACTAGAATATTTGGTGGGTGTGAGCAGCGAAGATGAAGATCTCCAGAATATCCTTATGCATAATTAAGTTGGGGAAATTCTGTTTTAGAATTTCCAAGGCTTGGTGACCTTTATTTTAAAAGTGCTCAGGGGCCCCTGGGTGGCTTAGTCGGTTGAGCGTCCGACTTCGGCTCAGGTCATGATCTCGAAGTTTGTGAGTTCGAGCCCCGCGTTGGGCTCTGTGCTGACAGCTCAGAGCCTGGAGCCTGCTTCGGAATCTGCCTCCCTCTCTCTCTGCCCCTCTCCTGCTCACACTCTCTCACTCTCTCTCTCTCTCTCTCTCAAAAATAAATAAACATTAAAAACATTTTTTTAAGTGCTCAGTTCACCCCAGAGCTGACTACATAATTTGTGGGGCTCAATGCAAAATGAAAATGTGGGGCCCCTTGTTCAAAGACCAGAAAAAAAACATGCCATTGAAAACACTAACATACAAAACTCTTCTCTTTCTTCTGTGGTCTCTTGAGAGCTATCATGGTGTTTTTAGTTTATTACTTAATGTCACGCTTTCTCAGGTGCGGGGGATATTTGTTGGGAGAGTGCAGACACTAATGGGTGCCCAGGAGCCACGCCCTGTGATTTAGCATGCAAGCACAAATGCCCCTGGCCGTCAGGTCCCCTCTCCCACCAGCCCCAAGGGAAGATAAGACCATCTTCCCTTCTCACTGGCCCACTGCAGCGACCAGCAGTGGAGGGGGGATTCCCAAGGGATTACAGCTTCCATGCCAGGATGTGCTCGGTACCTGGAATGGAGGTGGGCAAGAAGCTTGCTCCCACCATTCACCCTCCAGATGTGCTGTGACAAACATCTGGTCCTCAGATGCTCTGTGGCCCTGACCCGTCCCCAAATGGCATAGAATGCGTGCACCCAACCTCAAGCCTCCCTGCGCCTGTGCAAGAGGAGGGTGACAATGGTAGCTGTTGGAGACGAGGACGGAAGTATGCCAGCGTGCCACGGGTTGAGGGGTGGCAGTGGTCATTGGGCAGGGGGGACAGGGAGTGGGAGGGTCAAGAATCCATCCCCAGGAGGTGGGGAGAGGTTCCAAGTTCTCAGCGCAGGGCTGCTCCACTGTCTCATCAGACTTGAGTTACAAAATACAAAGCATTAAACTCCAAATTCGGGACCTTTCCAAAAGCAAGGCCCCACGCAAGTACACTGGTCACAAGCTCATGAAGCTGGCCCTGACCCCAAGGGATATTTTATCACTAAGCAAATTTGGGCAACACTGTCCTACACGGATCTGAATGGTCACCTCTGAAGACACCTGTTTTCCTAATTGAAGAACTAAAACTTTCTCTTTCTTTCTTTCTTTTTTTTTTTATTGGAAGAGGGGAG